AAAGAGTCTGCCTCAATATATGCTTATTGATTAATGAGTAGAAACAACATTTGCAAGACATTCAAAGTTCAACAAGCCATTTCCACTTGGGGACAAGGAGCAACAAGGGCTGGGTTTTCCCTACTGTCTTAACTAAAAACCAGACAAAACATTTGAAATGATGGTTTCTAGACATTGGAAAAGAGGCACTCAGAACAAGATCTCTGAAAAAAGAAAAATATGAGCCCCACCTTCCAGCCAAAAGCAAGTCAGCAGGCTACAACCTAGAGGGAGCTACAACCTAGAGTGGGGAACTCCCAGCTCCGCGGTCTCCTTGCGCATAGGAAACAGAATTAAGAATTCAAATTTAGAAAGGCCAAGACTACAAGAATTTGCAGGGCAGAGCGACGAGCTCTGGTGGTCTGTAGAGGGCTCTAATCAAGGCCAACTGAGTCTGATCAGCAAATGCTTGTGAAACTACCCAATGCCCAGGAAAGAACCACTGGAAAGAAGCAGATGGATCCAGTATTGAAGCTTTTACTCAGAGCTGGGAATAGATCACATTCCCACCAGCCAGAGTGGAACTGGTAATAGTTGGGGCATCTGGAAGAGTAGTTGGAAGGTTAGTGGGATCAAATTTACCCTAAGCTAAAGGCTGAGCTGGTTCTGCCTAACAAACTTTGAAAGCAAGCCTGGAAAGGATCAAAATGTTTCCAAGTAACTTAGCTGTAGACCAGAAAAAAGCTTTTAAACATGTATGTATGTATGTATGTATGTATGTATGTATATACACACACACACACACACACACACACCCCATATATATCTGTATGTTTATGTGTGTATATGTGTATATAATGTATGTTATACATACTTTATATATAAATATAATTAATATAAATTATATTTTTTCTGGTACTTGGCAACATAAAATTCAAAATGGCTGAGACACAAAAATTACCAGATGTACAAAGAATCAGGAAAATACAATCCCATAATGAAAAGAAAAATCAGTCAACAGAAATGAAGACAGAAATGGCACAATTGCTACAATTACAGAAAATGGATATTAAAACATTATAAATATACTTCATAAGTTCGAAAAAATAGGGGAAAAATTAAGTATGCTAAGTAGAGAAATGGAAGGTATAAAAAAGACCCAAATGTGATCTCATTGTGATGAAAAATACTGGCTGGGATAAATAAGACATTACAGAATAAAAAATGAGTAAACTTGAAGACATAACAATCAAAATTACTAGAAACACCAAAAGCAAACACACACACAAGAATCACAGAAAGGAAAGGAATTTCAGGTAAGAGGGGGGGGGGAGAAAAAATGTTTGAAGAAATAACAACTGAAACAGGCTATAGAAGACTTAACACGATCAACTAATTTGACCTGACATTTATAGAACACACCACCCAAAAATGGCTGAATACACAATTGTTTCAAGTATATGTAGGACATTATCAAGATAGGGCATAGGCTGGACCATGAAACAAGTCTCAATAAATTTTAAAGAATGCAAATTGTACAAAGTGTGAAAATACCCAAGGCCCCAAAGTATTGTGAAACTACCACAATGGAATTAACATAGGAATCAATAATATAAAGATAGCTGGAAAATCTCCTAATGTTTGGAAACTAGACAATTCTAAATTAAATATGCATCAAAGAAAAAATCAAAAGGAAATGAAAACAAGACAATTTGTGGGCGGCAACTAAAGTAGTACTTAGATGTAAAAATATTTTTAAAAAGCACTGAACACTTATTCGATAAGAAAGGTCTTAATGACATATGTTCTCACCTTTATATACCAGAAGAGTAACTGAAACCCAAAGTGAATAGAAAAAAGGTACTAATAAATGTAAGAGCCATTATCACTGAAATAGAAATTACTGAAATAGAAATAGAAAAAAAGAGAGATCAGTGAAATCAAAACCATGTCATTTGAAAAAAAAAAGGGTCAATAAAATTGATAAATATCTACCCATAGACACTAATTACCAATACCAGGAATGAGAGAGAAGTATATAGTGCAGATTCTACAGACATTAAAATGATAATAAAGGAGTATTATGAACAACTTCATGGCAATAAATTTAACAACGTAGATAAAAATGGACAAATTCCTTTTGAATTTGAAACACACAAGCTATCAAAGCTTCCTCATGAAGAAACATAATCTGAATAGCTCCGTATCAATAAATTTATAGTTTAAAATCTTCCCATCAAAAACATACACAAAAACAACCCTGCCCACCCACTTCCCACCCTAAACTCTCCAGGCCCAGAAAGTTTTACTGGTAACTTCTACTAAATGTTTAAGAACGAACGAAAAATTTCCGGAAAGTAGAAAAGGAAGAAACACTTTTCAAATTCTGTGAGGCCAGCATTACCGATACCAAAACCAGACAGAAACATTACAAGAAAATTACAAACCAACAATTCTCATGAACACAGAAAAATTCTTAATCCAACAATAAAAAAGGCAATAAGT